GGTGGTGAGGGATGGGATTGGCTCATGGAAAACCTTTAAAAAAGTTTTCATGAGAGAGTTTGCTAGGGTATTGGACGATGATGACATTTGGGACGAGCTCAAAGCCAGAACCCAAGCCAAAGGCGAAAAACTGTCGTCATATATCACCAATCTAAAAATGATCGCAGATCACTTTAAGAGGCCCCTATCGGGAGATAAAATGTTAAAAATAGTGTTCAGAGGACTGACACCCGAATATAGGCGGTTCATTGCAAACCAGGAGGTGCAAGACTTGGGTGATTTGGAAAAATACGCGAGGAGATACGAGAAGATTCGTGATCTGGATAAGCGTTATATGCCACCACCCACTAAGGAAAAAATGAGATTTCCATCGGCGTCACCAAGAGGTGGAGCAAAGGCAAGCAAGCTAGATGCGCTGCTTGAGGATTCTCTGTCGGATTCGGGGTCAGACAAGGACAAAAAGCCAGCTAAGAAAAAGTCCAACTCTAGAAAGAAGAAGGTGACCAAAAGGAAGGAAGCTGAGGAAGTCGATGCATTCCAGATGCAAAAAGGGCAGTGGAACTCGGGAGCAAACAAAAACGGGGCAAAACAGTCAGCACGACAGGCACCCGTAGCAGTAGCTCCGAAGAGGTTTTCGGGACAAAGAGTACCTGAACCATCGAGGCCGGTCAGTGGTACTGTACCGGAACCACGGCCATTTTTAGGCACCTGCAACATGTGTCAGGTGGTGGGACATAGGGCGTCCCAATGTCCAACGAGGGTCTGTTTCAAGTGCAGAGTTCAGGGACATTTTGCTTCGGAATGCCCGAATAAACAATCGGAATCTCTTGGTGGCCAGTGTCAGGTCTGTGGGACCAAAGGCACTGTGTTTAAAAATTGTCCAACTTGTGCCCCATTGCGAGCAATGTGGGGAAACGAGTTTGGGGGGGGGGGACCGACAAACCCTCCCCCCCAACCTTAGGCTCAGTCACCACGAGTGAAGAGGTGTTCCTGAGAGTGCAAGAGAAGGTGTACTCTGATGAGAGTGGGGAGGACCCACTCAAGCTTCAACAGGAACAGAGTGAAGAGCGGAGGGGTGAGTGTTCACCCAGAGTGAAATTAGTGCGTCAAACTCAAATTGAGCAGAGGAGGAGTAAGGAGGACTCACTCAAGGCTCAAAATGAGAGGAGTTTATTAGAGAGAGTTGGTGAGTGTTCACCAAGGAAGTGGCCTTCGAGGCAAACTCAATTTGAGCAGCGGACGAGTGAGGAGGACTCACTCAAGGCTTAAAATGAGAAAAGTGTGTTAGAGAGGAGGGGCGAGTGTTCGCCCAGTGTTAAGTCTGAGACAGACTCAATTTGAGCAGGTGACGAGTGAGGAGGACTCACTCAAGGCTCAAAATAGAGGGATGAAGTGTTGGGGTGAGAGTTCACCCAGCGAAATGACCGTGGGTCATTCGCAAAATGAGTCGCTGGCGAGTGAGGAGTACTCACTCAGGGCTCAACAAAACGTGTCTAGTAGAATGGGTGAGGGATCACCCAGTGATATGGTCGTGGGCCATTCACAAAATAAGTTGCTGGCGAGTAAGGAGAACTTACTCAGGACTCATCTACTAGTCACAAGTGGTAAAGGTGAGTGTTCACCTAGTGGAAAGTCTGCGCGGCAGACAAATAGAGTTTGTTGTTCGAGTGAGGAGGACTCACTCCGTACTAAGAGAGGGACACCAAGCATTAGTGGCACTGGGACACATTGTCCCAGTGATCAAAGGATAATACATCCTACTAGTGGTGTTGGTGGGACTAATAGTGCTGAACATTTGGCAGCACGTATAGTCCAGGGGAGGGGAGAAGTTGCAAGTGATGCAACGGAATTCCCCGAACCTAACGAAATGATTGATGGGACAAGGGCTGAAAATAGATACTTTTTAAAAGTAATTATCGCGGATCGTCCATATATGGCGTTGTTTGATCCAGGTGCGATGATATCAGTTGTGGGTCCCAAATTGGCGGCCAAGTTTCGGGAAAAATTAGAGGCGGCCGATACAGCGGTCCAGAGTGCCCTTGGCGGCTCAACGAGTACATTAGGAAAGTTTAGATTGTGGTTGACAGTCGACGGTCATTCACAACCATTTGAGTTAAAAGCAATTGATTCTTTGACTCAGGATATTATTTTGGGCATTGACTTTTGCAAGGACATGGACATGGATGTCCAATTGGGCAAGGGCCTCTGGAGAATTAAGAAGGGTGAGTGGCATGAATTTGCGACTCAACTTAATAAGCGGGATCGTGGCGATATTTCTGCGGAGTGTGCAGGAATATCGGAGTTGACCGATGAACAGCGTGAAGAAGTTCAACTAATGGTCAACCAGTTGGTACTACCCCTAACGGCAGAGTTAGGAATGACATCCTTAACCGAACATCACATTCGTTTGAGTGATACGGTACCGGTCAAGCATAGACCACGAAGGATGTCACCCATGATTCTTGAGTGGCTCATAAAAGAGGTTAAAAAGTTGTTGGAGCAAGGGATCATTGAGCGTGCTGCGAGCGATTGGAGCTCAGCACCAGTGGTTGTAAAAAAAGTGATGGTACTTTACGGTTATGTTTCGACTACAGAGATCTGAACAAAGTAACCATCAAAGATGCTTATCCGATCCCTAGTGTGGACTCAATATTGGATAAATTACGGAAGGCCAGATATATATCCAAAATAGATCTGAAGATGGCCTATCATCAGGTACCAATGTCGGCGGAGAGTTAAAAGTATACAGCGTTTTCAATTCCAGGCTTAGGGTTATTCCAGTTCAAAAGAATGCCCTTTGGACTAACTAACGCGCCTATGACATTTCAGCGGCTGGTCGACTCTTTGTTCGGTCCAGAATTCGAACCAGTGGTGTTCGGGTACCTAGATGATATTATTATCGTGACAAACGATTATCAGGAACATCTTCATTGGTTGGAAATTGTCCTAAAGAAATTAGCTGCGGCTGGTTTGGTAGTGAACCCGAGTAAATGCGAATTTGGTTGTTCGAGGGTCACGTACTTGGGATATGTTTTGGATAAAGACGGTTTGAGGCCAGATCCGGATAAGATAGCGCCGGTTCTGGAATATCCAGCTCCACAAAATATCAAACAAATTCGTAGATTCCTAGGAATGGTAGGATGGTATTCGCGGTTTATCCAGAAGGATAGCGAGCTTAAAATACCACTTTTGCGGCTACTACACAAGGATAAGAATTGGGTATGGGAAAGTGACCAACAAGAGGCGTTTCAAGAGTTGAAACAGAAATTGGTTTCGGCACCAGTGTTGGCCCGTCCTGATTTCACTAAGCCGTTCACGATACAATGTGACGCAAGTGACTCAGCGATTGGAGCTGTGCTTACACAGGAGACTGAGGATGGCGAACATCCCATTGTTTATGCCAGTAGAGCATTAACATCGGCGGAACGCAATTATAGCGTTACCGAAAGGGAATGTTTGGCCCTATTGTGGGCAATTCGTAAATTTAGACCATATGTGGAAGGCTCTAAATTCAAGGCCATAACGGATCATAGTGCGTTAAAGTGGCTGAGGAATCTGAAGGATCCTACAGGGCGTCTGGCACGTTGGGCATTGGAGATGCAGCAGTGGGATTTCGACATCGTACATAGGAAGGGTGCGAATCACCATGTACCAGACGCATTGTCTCGCATGTTCGATGAAGAAGAGGCCGAGTTAGCGGCCTTCGAGACAATCACAGATCCGTGGTATTTGAAGAGGAAAGAGATGGTCGTTAAGTTTCCGAAGAGGTTTCCTGGCTGGTTGGTCGAAGAAGAGAGGTTATATTGTCATCAGAATGACCCATTATTACTTCCGATAACTGGCGATGAAGTGGGGTGGAAATTAGTATTTCCACTTGAGTATAGGGCAGAAGTGCTGAAAAACGCACATTCTGAGATTTCGGCGGGACACTTGGGCATTGAGAAAACGTACCAACGCGTAGCTCAGGAATATTATTTGCCAGGAGTATGGCATGATGTTCAGACGTTTGTCAGGCAATGTCCCGAGTGTCAACGGTTCAAAGTGTCACAAGAAGGACCTCAAGGTCTCATGGGTCGAAGGATTGTGGAACGACCTTAGACCGTAGTGGCGGCTGATTGCATGGAGTTTCCTCCTAGCAAAAGCCAGAATAGGCACTTGGTAGTGTTCCAAGACCTATTTTCCAGATGGATAGAGGTGAAACCTCTGAGATCGGCGGATGGCAAATCAATTGCCAAGGCCTTCGAGGAGTTGATTTTATTCAGATGGGAAACTCCGAATTTCTTGTTGACAGACAACGGGAAAGAATTCGACAATAACCATCTTAAATCAACACTCGAAGAGTATGGTGTGCGTCATTTGACGACACCACCATATCACCCTCAGGCCAACCCCGTTGAGAGAAGTAATCGGACACTGAAAACAATGATCGCTACCTTTGTGGGTTCTGACCACCGTGATTGGGACAAGCATGTGCACGAGTTCCGTCATGCAGTCAACACGGCAGTCCAAGCGACTACGAAGGTATCACCGGCGTTTCTCAATTTTGGTAGGCAACCTAACCCCGTTAAGAGTTTACGGCGGAAGGTTGAAGAGAAACGATTGGTACAGCGCATTGATCCAGAAGTCTGGTGCGATAGAATGCGTAGATTGGACGCATTGCGGGATTTGGTGGCTCGTTTTATAGACGAGGAAAGGGAGAAACAGGCGAAGTACTACAATCGAAATAAGCGCGAGGCAACGTTTAGTGTAGGCGATCTAGTACTTTGGCGAACGCATAAATTATCGAACGCGAATCAACGGTTCTCAGCCAAGCTGGCTCCAAAATTCGAAGGTCCGTTCGAAATAATTAGGCAACTGTCTCCCTCGGTGTATGAATTGAAATCCGAAGATAAGCGGCGAGTGGCCAAAGTTCATGTCTCGGATTTGAAAAGATATATACCTCCTCGTAAATAGAGTTAAGTAATGGTTGAGAGTGGTGATTAATATATTTTTGTTTTCAGATTGGATGCCCAAACGTCGGCTCAAGTCACCATCTGGGCCATCGCCGAAGAGAAAAATGTGGAGGAGTGGTTGTGGCGCTCGTCGTGGGTGGAGTGGTCGGCACCTAGTGGCGAAGAAGGCTTTGCCGGAGTTCTCGCCTCCAGCGGTAGGATCGCGGCTGGACAGGGTAGAAACTCTGGTCCAGAGAGTTTTTGAGGAACGAGGCATTACCCCCACTCAACCGGAGGAGATAGCGGAACCATCTGTTCTTGGTGATAATTCTGTGGCCCGGTTGAGTGGTGAGTTGAATGAGGCTGCAGCTGTTGAAGTGGCTGCTGAGACCAGTGTGGAGGCGTCCACGGACAAAATTGTGGCCACTGGGGCCGTCAAGAAGGTACTTCGTCAGAGGCGTGACCCGTACCAATTGGAACGTGCTCCCGGTGAGAGTGAGGAAGCGTGGGAGAGCCGTTTGGCGGTGGCCGACTTGGAGAGGACGGTGGCTCCGGTGGAACTGTCCCCGGAGAGAAGAGTAGAGCGGCTTCGACTTCGTCAGGAGTTCGAAGTCGAATATCGAAACCGACATCCTCTCAAGTCGGAGAACTATGTAAGTGGTGTGCCGAGGCCCGTGTATAAACCGACGGCGTCTCACTTACCTAAGGAGGCAGGGGTGGCGGAGGTTTGCGCGATCCAAACCTTACCGGCGCCAGCATCTTCAGTGATAAGTGCGAGTGGCAGGAGGCAGTTACCGGCTGTATTGGCCGGTATTATGTTCAAGGGTTTGGACCCAATACTGACGGATCCAAGGTTGGACCCGCCTATGAGGTCCTGCTTCAATTGTTGGAAGAGAGGCCATCGCCTCTCTGATTGCCCAAAAGAATGGGCAGATTTTTGCAAAAACTGCGGAAGGAGGGAGGTGACCCTTAACACGTGTCCACGCTGCTCACGCGTGCATGCCGAGTTCCTGAGTCAGCGTGATGGGACCTCGTCGTCAAGGCCATCTCAGCGGCTGGTGGAACGGGAGGACCCTCCACCAAGGAACCGTCGTAGTTCGCCGGTTCCCCAACAAGTTGAGCGGCCCCCACCTAGGGAGGAAAACGTCGAGCCTGAGGCTCGTGTAGTGGCGGCGTCTGGTCCAACCCTTCTCGACAAGCTGCGAGAGTTGGACCAACGTTTGGAGGGAGTTCCACAGGAACTCAAAGAGGAACTTAAATTGGAGTTCCTCAAGGAGCGTCGTAGTCGACGCCACTAGTGTTGATTTTTCTTTTTGGAAGGGAAGAGACATGAAATTCAATTTTAAGTTCAAAGAAATATTAATTCTGTCATCTTCTTTCCTTATTTTGCTATTAAATTTTCATTTTATTAAATAAAATAAATAAAAAGCAAGTTTATTTTTTTTTGTGAACTGTGTTAGAATGCTTATTTCCCCCCTTTTAATGTTTTTTTTTCGTGGTTTGGTTTTTTGTGGCTCTTTGTGAGATTGATAGGCGATATTACTGAGAGTAACATCGGCCTAGGGGAGGGGATTGTAACGAAGCATTCGTTAGTTGGGTTTTCGTCTTGCTTTTCTATGTGGCAGTCAAATTCAGTTGCTTTCGCGAAATCTATCGTAGAACTGATGTACGCAGGCGTGACGTACGAACGTTCACGGGGGGCGGCGAATAGGGCCGATTAGTTATTTCGTAGGCCAGGGTTGTCCATAGGAGCGAGAGAGACGGAATCATAGGGATGATCCAAGGACCGGCAGGGGGATCTACCAGGCAGTTCAGTTACCCGATCGATTGAGAGCGGACGTGATATCTGTATCAATTGTTTCCTTTTTATATACTCTTTTGTAATATTGTTGTTTGGTTAATTGGCGATTACTTAATAAATAGTTAGCGTTGAATTCGGAGTGTTTTCTCCTTGGCGAATTCTTCCCACATCTCGAGAAGCGTCGTCGGTCAAGAGTCAGCTTAGCGTCATCGAGGTAAGTGTGTTAGTGTTGGTCTGCCTCAACGTCCGGCATCAGACGTTTATATGTTTTGGAGGATCCCCTTTTTGAGATTTGTTGTATAATGTGTATTTTGAATTGGCGGGTTTAGATGCCCAGTTTATGTTAATTATAAATTATAAAAACCCCGTTACAATTTTGGCGCCCAACGTGGGGCGACGCCAAGACATTGAGGCAGAGGAAAATTTTTTATATGTGTAATTAAAACTATTTATTTGGAGGTATATATTGATTTGTGATTTTTTTTATTTTATTGATTGAATTTTTTGTGTATTTTGTGTGGCCGTGTATATTGGGAATATACATCGGGAAATTGAACTCAGTGTGTAAAAACTAATTTATTCGCCATGTGCTCGGACGTGACGTCACATTGAGCGAAATTGGCGGTATCAGGAATTACGTCATCGGAACGAAAAATCGAGCGCAAGTGTTTGTGGCCTTTTCGGTTCTGGTAAAACCTGAAATTAGTTAAATTAATCAAGAAAATTAGTATTGATTAGTGTTGTGTTTGTCGAGATTAATTTTATAGGAATTTTTTTTTCTCTCTCGGAAAATTCTTAATTGATCGAAAATTTTTTATTAGTAGATTAAATAATTTTTTTTTCTCGGCGTGTGTGGAAGTGACGTCATTCGCGTTTATAGTATCGTGAGAAATCTTTTCCGCGGGAAATAAGATTTTAGACGCCATTTCCAAAATTTTGTGTGAGTGGTGAAAAATTCTTGCGAAGAAGAATTTTAATTTTTTTTACGACTTGTCGTGGACAAGTAAAAGAATTTTAAATTATTGAACATTTTATCAATTTTTAAACTATGGCTTGCTCATTCGCAAGGTTAGCAAATTTTTTTTTAATTGTGTTTGTTCATTATTTATTTTTTTTTGAATGTTGAAAAAATTTTTTTTTAATCGTAGAGGCTCGCGTGGTGTGTATTTTAAATTCTTTTTCTTTGGTGGCTGCATATTAATGCAGGTTGTAGATAAATTAATATAAGATTAAAAATTTTATTTAATTTTTATTGTGTGTTGTACGGTACTATTTTATTATCGGCGTATTTTTTGTCCATTTTAAAGAGGGCGCTAGCTACAAATTAGTTAGCGAAAATTTCTTTTAAATTAACGTGTCAATAATATTTTTTTTTGTGTGTGTATTGGCAGTACTATTGTCCTTTCTTAATTTTGTGGCACCATTTTGGGTGGAAAAATTTTGAAAAATAAGCCAATTGAATTCGAAACTTTTTTTTTGTGGGAATTTGAAATTTATGAATTATTTCAACATGAGTAGGGAGTCCGACGTTTTTAAACGACAAATGGAGGCGGTTCTGAAAGATCCGAAGGCCCGAAAAATTTGGGAGCAGGTCAAACTAATGACAATTGAAGATGTCGTTTTCGAATTAAACAGTCAAGGATGCAGCATCAAAGGATCAGTCCAAGTGCTGTATGAAAGACTTTTGAGGCTCCGAACAAGAATTGTTTTAGGAGAAACATTGTATGTGCCGTGGGCAGATAAATACGATGCGGCAGATTCATCCAACGTATTCATTTTGGAAGGACTTCCTGGCCCTTTAAGAAATCCTTTATTATATTAAAACAAAGTCCGACCAACCGACCGACCGACCGACCGACACCATTCAGGAAAATTTTTTTATTTTTAAATAAAACCAACTATTACTTATGCTTATGTTATATATTTTTATTAACAATTTCACATTTACTTACACATATACACAAAGTACATACACATGTATACACACACATTTGCATACATGTATACATATATATATATATATACATATATACATATGACATTAATATAAAATAATCCTTTATTATCCTTTATTATATTAAAATCCCGTGTGGAAAAAGCCACGATCTTGCCCTCAAGAGTTCTGGGCCCCCGGCGGGGGCCCATGAGGGCTGATCCATATGGCGAATTCATGAGGGGCACCGTAGGGGCCCCGCATGGATCGCCCTCATGATCGATTAGCAAAATTTTCTAAGTCCAAAAATCAAATATTTTTTTATCACCAAAAAATTAATGTTTATAATGATTCAGAACCACGAAAAACGCGTTTTTAATAAAAATATATTTACACTTTTTTGAAAATAACACTCACACTTATGGCAAAATAGATGAGGGCCACCGTAGGGGCCCGCATGGATCGCCCTCATGATCAATTAGCAAAATTTTCTAAGTCCAAAAATCAAATATTTTTTTATCAACAAAAAATGAATGTTTCCAATGATTCAAAACAACGAAAAACGCGTTTTTAATAAAAATATTTTTACACTTTTTTGAAAATTCGCCTGAGATGATTCATGATAATAATCATAAAGCATATAATTAATTATATTTTATAAATTGCATTTGATTGGAAAATATAATTTAATATCTTAACTTTAACTAAATGATGTCAAGCACTTTTCTTTGTTAGGTATTTTTCAAGTTTAAATAGCATCAAGAAGTTAGCATTCGTTTTGAAGTAGCGTGCGTAGCGTAGTTGGTAAAGCGTTAGACTCATAGTCCGTAGGTCGTAGGTTTGATTCCCCCCATGCGTTAGATTTATTTATTTCTCAGGTTTGCGTTTAATCATTAATTCTATGTATGAATTAATTAAAAATTAAAATATCCGTTAATAGTATGCATAAATTACATATTTTTTAATTTTTTAATTAGTTAATTTATTATTACTTTTAATTATATCCGACAGTTAATTAATTAGAACGTTAATTAATAAATTGAATAATTATTAAATAAATATGTTATTTATTCATAACTTAAGCTTATTTATTATTAATAAACTTTTATTATTAATATTATTGATTAAAAAACATTATGGCAAACTTGAGGGCAAGATGAGGGCAAACGTGAGGGACCATAAGGGCGCCCGTAGGGGCACCCTCATGGATCGCCCATGCGGGCGCCCTCATCGATGAGCATGTCGTTTCCATGAGGGGCCCCTATGGATCATCCATATGCGGCCCTCATGGCATGAGGGCGATCCATAAGGGCCCCCGCTGGGGGCCCACATCACTTTTCCACACGGGATCCTTTATTATATTAAAACAAAGTCCGACCAACCAACCGACCGATCGACACCATTCAGGAAAATTTTTTTATTTTTAAATAAAACCAACTATTACTTATGCTTATGTTATATATTTTTATTAACAATTTCACATTTACTTACACATATACACAAAGTAAATACACATGTATACTCACACATATGAATACATGTATATATATATATATATATATATATATATATATATTCATATGTGTGAGTATACATGTGTATGTACTTTGTGTATATGTGTAAGTAAATGTGAAATTGTTAATAAAAATATATAACATAAGCATAAGTAATAGTTGGTTTTATTTAAAAATAAAAAAATTTTCCTGAATGGTGTCGGTCGGTCGGTCGGTCGGTTGGTCGGACTTTGTTTTAATATAATAAAGGATTTTAATATAATAAAGGATTATTTTATATCAATGTTATATATATATATATATATATATATATATATATATATATATATATATATATATATATATATATATATATATATATTCATATGTGTGAGTATACATGTGTATGTACTTTGTGTATATGTGTAAGTAAATGTGAAATTGTTAACAAAAATATATAACATAAGCATAAGTAATAGTTGGTTTTATTTAAAAATAAAAAAATTTTCCTGAATGGTGTCGGTCGGTCGGTCGGTCGGTCGGTTGGTCGGACTTTGTTTTAATATAATAAAGGATTTTAATATAATAAAGGATTATTTTATATCAATGTTATATATATATATATATATATATTCATATGTGTGAGTATACATGTGTATGTACTTTGTGTATATGTGTAAGTAAATGTGAAATTGTTAATAAAAATATATAACATAAGCATAAGTAGGGGAGACCGAGGAGGAAAGTAACAGAGGAGGAAAGTAACAAAGCTTATAACTTTTAAACAAATTATCGGATAGACATGGTTCAAACATATTTTTAGTCGGCACTGTTCCCCCTTCCTCCTCCATAGTGTGTCCGAGCCTGACAGGAAAGGTTAGGTCTGATTCCGGTGTGACGTGCAGAAAAAACGTCAAAAGTAAGTTTTCGTTCAAATTTTCAAAGTCTCGTATTTCTTTAATTTTATTGTTTTTCAAAATGTGCCTTTCGTTATTTTATAGCCTTATTATCTGTCTTTAAGTTGTGCTTAAACAAACAATTTAACATTTGTGTAGTTTTAACTTTTTTGTTGACATACAAGAAAAAAGCGACCGAGGAGGAAAGTAACACGCTACTTTTCTCCTGTTGTCGATATTGTCCATGTTTTAACTAATGATTGAAGCAAATCGTATTTAATTTTACGAATAACAGAGATTTATTTAAAAAAAACCTGTGATCTAGGTAAGCATAAAATATCTTTAAGAAAAAAAATGAGCTAAATTCATAAAATGTTCGAAATATGTGCTAAATATGTCCCAAATATGTGCCAAATAAGTATAAAGTGTACTTAAACTTTTATGTGTTCCTAATAAAAATATTTCTAATTAATAATAGTCATTAGTCTAAAGAATTTTACATAATTTTATACTGTTACTTTCCTCCTAGGAGCTTGTTACTTTCCTCCTCGGGGGTCAGGAGGAAAGTAACAGATGAAGAGCTTGCGTAAAAGTTATACTGTGAACTGTCAATTTATTATAAATGTTTAATTCAAATTTTATTTAAAAGGTGAATGTCCAAGCTTTCATTTAATATATTGGACAAATTTATCCGACAAATATTTTTAATGCTAGCATAAAAAAACTGATTTTTGTTACTTTCCTCCTCGGTCTCCCCTAATAGTTGGTTTTATTTAAAAATAAAAAAATTTTCCTGAATGGTGTCGGTCGGTCGGTCGGTCGGTTGGTCGGACTTTGTTTTAATATAATAAAGGATTTCGTATCAACTGTACTTGTTGTGACCAACTTTCAAAATTTTGACCATAACCATCAAACGTGCCTAATAATTCACGAATAGAGTTAATTGATAACCTTGAGTTTACCTTAATATTTTGAAGTGTTGACTGACGAACTGGTATCTGTGTAGATGACGTCATTCCTTCGTGGGAGAAGACAACTTGTTGAGAAAGGGTCGAGGTCGTCGTTGTGTTTTCCCCGTAAAGTGAAATAAGATCTGAAGGTGAAGCCGAAGTCATCGTCGTATTTCCCCTGGTTGAAAACATGGGAACTTGGGAAGTTGTCGATGATGTAGAGGGATTTGATTCAATTCTCAAACCCGTCACTGGAGAAGAAGTTGGTTCTGCAAGTCTCTGTCATCCTGCTGGTCATCATCAACCTCAAGGGAGACTTGTTTCTCTCCATTCCTCAATGAAGGATCCATTGGGACTGCAACTCTGCAAACGCAGATACAACTCTGCCTTGTTACCAGTAGTAGCAATATTTTTCCCGCGTAAAATGCTCTTTATTTCCACAACAGTCAAATCTGCTGCCATAATAATAATTTAATTTTGACGATAATTAATTATCTTTGTATTGGACACAAAAGTGGTTAGATTTGTTGTGGTTATCAAGGTCGTCTTCTGTTTACCGAAACTAATATAACATAATTGAGCTGTAATTCTTATATTCAAATTATCGACGGGTGTGCGAGAATACTTAAAACGAACGGAACTAAACAGTTTTTTTTCAATATGAAGCAACAATTTTAATGCAATCGCTTCCACAATTTCGACACAAAGTCACTAAAACGATCACAAAACTTAGCACAAAGCACGTGGATCATAAACTTAAGTCAATGATTAGCAGGTCGAATTTAAAAATGTCGGTTATTAAATTGTGCACCGCGTGCACAAATCTTTCAAAGGTACAAAACCTAAGAATTCAGTTCTTCCTTCTTTCAAAGAATGACATAAAAACATAAATTGCAGACTCTTTTTTTCTACAATAATCACTGGAACATAACTTGCCCAATTCTTCTCAAATTCAATTTAGAAATCGAGCGTCCTTTCCAGAAAATAGTTACACTTATAACTTTTCAAATTATATAAATTGCGTAAATAAAAAAATAATCAATTTTCAGATAAAATGAGAGCACAATGTTCACTATCCCACTTCTGAACTGTGAGAGGATGGCTTCAATAAAACAAATAAAATAAATGGAATAAGATAACTAATTTATTGTCAGGTTAGATCGACTGTTCTCTAGGACACCCAAGTACGAACTGACTCTCCCTTCTTATCTCACTTTTCGGCAATCCACATACAATTAAATCACGACATACACACAAACACACACAATTTCTTGACACACAGGTAAACACATATACACTTATAATCCTACAGTTGTTTCAAATGTATTTTTAAAACTGAAAGATTAAAATAGAAAAGGTTCCTTTTTTATTCACCTTATTCATTTTCTATCAATATTTATCAACATTTAAAATAAATTTTAATGGATATAATTATTTGTGGATAGAAAGAGATTGTTTAAATTAAAATGTTTATTAATGAGTTACAGATTTAAAGATACAAAATGATTAACAAAAACAGAAATGGATAAAAATTTAAGCATTCAGGCGGATTTGAATAGATATAAGTAGAAGTGTTTGAAAGAAATTGAAATTAATAGATATTCGTAAATAAAAAATAATGTTTGTTTATCGAATTTAAAAACTCTTATATAAGTTTCAAGAAAATCTAGTGGATGATAAAAACTTATTCTACCATATTAGATCGGATAATCGGGCATATATGGATTATTTTACTTGCAGAAAATCCAGTCAGAATGGAATGGTCAAGGCGGTAACATTTAATAATAAAAGTATTAATCCACTAAATGAATAATAACAATACTTACAGGAGTCATTTAGTCTAAATTAAGGGGATCATTTTTTTTCAAAAAATCGAATTGTTTTTTTTCATTTTTGGATAGTATAACTATTTAAAAACACAGTAAAATTTGTCTAAAGTATTACCAAGGTCTAAAAACGATATAAATTGAGTAGCTACATGCAACAACTCACCGAGCGCGTGAACGCACGCGTTTATACTAGTCGGGTAGCTGTAAATGGCCCAGAGGCACTCACTGCTACTTGGCTGGCATTAGATTACTTAAAAATGATCTTTTCGAAGCCGAAAAAGGAACTATGTATGGAGCTAGTATCGCCGATTGAGTAAGAATCACTTCTTTGTTTAATTTCTACTTAAAAAACTTTAAACGCGTTTTTCTCGAAACTGCATATTTTCAATTTTGTCATACTTTTATTTTAAAACTATTTAAACAATTAACTTTAAATTTGGACAGTAAGTTCCTTGAATGTGTAGTTTTCCTGTGAACTAGGATTTTTAAAATCCATTAATATTTTAAAAAGTTATAAACAATTTAAGTTGCAAAATTTTTGTCGAAAAATTAAAAAGTCTAACATTTGTTTTTTTCAATAAATATTTCTGATTCTAGTTTACACGATAGTCAAAATAGTACAGATTAAGGAAAAATTTGGTTTATTCATTTCAGATCCCTATTGAAAATTCCTACAAAGTTACCCACCTGTGATCCTTTAAAACCAATCTATAAGGAATCTTCTTAAGATCCTTTGTAAGAGCTTACGTGGGATGCGTTTAAGGAAGCTTTCAGACAACATATGACATTACTGTACGAATTTGGTTCAGGCAATGTTAGAGGAAACTATATAGTTTTCCATATAGTTTCCTACGTAGGATCCTATAAAGGATGTCACAGAAAATGAAAATTAAAATTTTTTTTTATTTATGTCATTGTTGCCTTGCTTGTTTTTCGACTTTTAGTATTTTGGAGAAAAATTTGAAAATAAATTTGGAGGGACTGGGGATTGAACCTGGGTTCGACACGCGCTAGCTAAAGACTTCTCAGCAGTCAGTGGTTAGGTTATTGTATAGGGTCTTTAGCTAGCGCGTGTCGAACCCGGGTTCAATCCCCAGTCCCTCCAAATTTATTTTCAAATTTTTCTCCAAAATACTAAAAGGCGAAAAACAAGCAAGGCAACAATGACATAAATAAAAAAAATTTTAATTTTCATTTTCTGTGACATCCTTTATTGGATCCTACGTAGGAAACTATATGGAAAACTATATAGTTTCCTCTAACATTGCCTGAACCAAATTCGTACAGTAATGTCATATGTTGTCTGAAAGCTTCCTTAAACGCATCCCACGTAAGCTCTTACAAAGGATTTTAAGAGGATTCCTTATAGATTGGTTTTAAAGGATCACACGTGGGAAGCTTTGCAGGAATTTTCAATAGGGATTAACTGTTGCAGAGAAAAATGTAAATAATAAATATTTTTTTTAATATAAAAAAAAATCGTTGAAAAAACCTCAAAATCACCGTAATAAATCACTCACCGTAATTTATCACTCTTAAATATAAGAAATATTTCCTATAAATAATTTGTCAAAAATAAAATACATACACTTACTTTTATTTGATTAATTTCAAATCGGTGTGAAGCAAACCAAATGTAGAAGAATATATCCTTCTTTTAAATGTCATTAATTCTGGATAGTATCTTTAATTTAAAATTTATTACGTAAAATGTGGACGTTGAAACCAGATACAATTTTTGTTAAAAAAAGTTATTCTTGAAATATTAAATTTGTATTATATAAAATATTGAGAACTTTGTAGGTAAGTAAGCTTTATTCATTATAACTTATATGTGTTTAAGCTTATTATTTATAAGCTTTTAAGAAATTAATTTCAAACATTTTCTCTATATTTTACGAAAATTGTTTTTCATATTCTCAATAAGGAAATGATCACATAATTAAGGATGTTAGTGAAAAAATTTTTATTTTCATCAGCTTCTTAACATTTTTGAAAAATCTATATAAAAATTGTTGAACCTGAAAATATAAATATTATTTTCGAGTGTAAATTATTATCATTAAGATATCTTGCTTTTAAATAGAATTTTATAAGATTATTGAAAATTTCCAATCTACACAATTCTAAGGATTTAATTAAAATTTTAAAAATATTTTCTTTATTATTTTTTTTAATTAATAGAAATCTAAAGACGAAGTAAATAGAAAAATAAATAATTTACACAAAAACTCTATTATGTTCATTTTTATGTAATTATCACGTTTCACCTACACTAGTGAGTAGGCATTCTTCTGAACCAAAAACGAGCTCTAAAGTCGTCGCTACAAGTTAAAAATGCAGGAGCTACTGGAGAATGAATAATTAATCTGACAGGTCCATTATGTCCTAATGAGAGTAACTGCTTCCTAGACGCATTTCTCGAATTCCATGCACATAAAGAAGTTGTTGCTTCATCTGGGAACATTACATAATCTTCCGTGTGATTGAAAACAGCTTGTGCTTTGTGTTCTTGTTTTCCTAAAAATCATCATCATTTTTAATAATATATTTACAGTAATAATAATTTTATTATTACAAAATGAGTAATATGTAAAATCAGCTTTAATAGGCAACTTATTTTAAACTAATAGAAATTTGTTTTAAAGAACTGCAATAAGCCATAAAAGAATAAAAACTCGATTCCGTATACGAAACAAATTTAGTTGATATAAAAAGTATAAGCTTTGTATGCCAAATTGTGTTAATCAATAGGTGAAGGAGCAATTTTGATATACAAAGTTTTCACATAACTTTTTTTTCGAATAAATTTAAGAAAATTATTGTCAATCAGATTCACTATATTTTTATTGTAAATCAACTGTAAAAATTCTCTAAAAAACTGAATTTTATATCTTTAGTGTAAAAAAGCGAGGGGCTGTTCACTCTCGAATACCCGATTTGTAATGTAGAAAATAGACTAGGTGTCTTCCGAATATTCATCAATTAACATAAGAAAATGTAAATTTCTTGATTCTGAATATATTGTATTTTAAGTGGAGATTACCGACGATTATTGAAAAGGACGTTCGAATTTGTCGAATACTATGCGAATCCTAACGAATCTCGTCGATTCCAGTAAAATCCTAAGTCATGCAGTAAGGATTGTTGCGATTCACGAATGTTTACGGAAACATACGAGCGAATTCGGCGGCAATTAAGCGCGAGGTATAGTCAATGGCTCAAATACTACCGAATTATACAATTAATCTATTTTTCTTGCAACTAACTCTCAATTACTTCAAATAAAATAAAAGCACTATTTCCCTTAATTTCAAAATAGGAATTACGAAAATGACTAGCAATCCTTAAAAATCTTTAATGAATTCTAAATATTGTTCAATTGGATTTTCAGTGAACAGCCCCTCGTAAAAAAGTGAATTGTAGTTTGGAATTTTTGCAAATTATAAAGTGTCTTCTTTGGTAAACAGTGAAGTTCAATCGTCGTGACACTGATGTATAATATTGTAGCGTTGTACAATTTGTTGTAATTATTATTTACTTTTTTGCGAATAAACATAAATAAATAAATATATCGCGAATATAAATTGGTAAATAAAGAATTTTTAAAATCTGACATCATATCCGTAATCCGCAACCCTAAAAACCCCCTAGTAACGAACTAATTTGATTCCTATGCCAAGTCTCTAGCACGTCGGATTTACCCTAAAAAAAATTTTCAAAAACTGCTAAAAACTGGATATTTGGGACTTTTACACCCACTTATCTCAAAACTACAGGAAATGACTTCTCGATCTCTGCCAACGGAAATTTTGTTTTTTTAGCAGGCTCGTGTAATTTGTACATATTTTTTTCTTTCTTTTTACAAATTATTACAAACAAAAAATATTAAAATTGAGTCCGGGATTGGCTATTATTTTTCTCACTTTTTATTAAAAAAATGCTAAAATTACACAACACTAAAAATTCTCGATAATTATCTAGTCTTCGGTGAACACATTCTCGGAACATATTCCTTTTTCGGCGAATTAGCTCATGAGGATCAATATATATGACCAGTAATAGCGATATACTTTTTTTTGTCTATTTAGATTTTTATTACATTACATTACATTTATGGAATATGTTTGGTACATTCTCAGGACATATTTGGGACATCCTCAGGATATGGTTGGAACATTTTTAGGATACTCTAAAAACATTTTAGTTTCTCGCAAATTTCCATTCTATCAAGCCTCCTGAGTAATTTAAGATAAAAAAGAAAAAAATCGTTAGACGCATTTTTAACCCTAGAAGGAGTAACTGGGGTGTCTAGATACTTCAGCAAAATTCAAATTTCGACAAATTTGGAAAATTTTTCGTTTTCGTTTTTGCAAGTTTTTTTCAACTTACATATTTTTATTTTATCAAAAAATTAATAAAACTATTGTTTTTCTTACTAAAAAACCAATAAAAATCACTATAGGGTCAGTTGGGATAAATGGGAACAAAATCGCTATTTTTCACAAATTACCTAAGTTTCTTCCTTTAAAAGGTAATATTTGCGGGTTTACTTTTTTTACCTTATTATTTACATTCCCAGGATTAATTTTGGGCAGCAGAAAAAAATTTAAATAAGCTTTAAACGCATGAAACTGACTGTCCCCATTTACCCCAAAATTTATAAAATTTCATAAAATTTCAAATCTCTCCGGTTCAAATAGCCAAGTTAAACTTGTTTTTTTGTCCGTACTAAAGATGCATAGTATATATGCTTTTATAGTAAGAAAAAAGTGTTATAATAGCAAGAACGCCAAGCGGAGATCGCACCTAGGTCATCCTACTACGATTGCAGAAGTCCTATGCTTTTTCGGTATTAGACCCTTGTAATTGTTACATACCGAGCGAAAGGCGAGGTTGAATTTAAATTCAATTAATAAAATCAATTCTAAAATTTTGGAGGAATGGTAGGCTGATTAAGTCAAGTTGGTAAAGCTTGACCATTTATTTTTATGTGAGAACGTTTGTTCCTATCGATCCTACGGGGGTTGTCTTTATTTATTTTACTATTAAATAATTGCCTTGACACTTAGGGGAGGTTGGGGCAAGGATAGTTAGTGGCTCTAATACAGAAACGGCTCGTCAAAAAAACGAGTCATTTATCATGTACACGCGTCTTAACACCAAAAGACGACAGTCAAAATTTGAGCTTGCGGGGACACTATTTGTAGAAGCTACGTGCCCATTTGTGTTAAATCTCAGTTTTGCTAAAATATTTTCACCTTATTTTTATTATTCAATCTTATTTTTGCGGATATAATTTATTAAATATATTTGGTTGCGTAATTTTTTTTTTACTTTTCCAATATTATCTCGAAGGCATTGCAATCTACAAGAAAACAATGTATAGCAAAATTATAGCTAAATAAACAGGCTTTCGAACGATACTATTCTTTTTCCGATGCCAGTTTAAATTTCATGGCTAGATCCAAAAATATCTTACCTAACTATCCTTGCCCCATCCTCCCCTATAGTTGTTAATTTAAACATGAATTTAGGTATATGAGAATCGCAGAGAAGAATTTTATTGATATAAGTGTTGTATAATTTATTAATATAAATGAATGAAATCAAAATGTTACAATAATGTTTTATGTTAAAAGATGTTGTTACAAGAATTGTGAATTTTAAAATGTTGTACTTACAATTACCTCTGTTCAGAGGGCAGAAAGAAATATAAATTGACAAGTTGGCACTTGTGCTTGACGCTGTGAGTTTTTACAACTTCTGAAAAGGAATGGTTGAGACTTCCTCACAGTTTTTTAGTTCGTAAACTCCGAAATGCACACACGTCACGTTTGCAAAATCGTTAAATTGAGAATACACTAATACGACGATTAACAATAAAATTTAATAAATGACAAGCTTACATATACTGTTCGAGATGCAAGAGTTACAGTCGTAATAATTTTAAAGTAACCGAAGCGTCAAAATCACGATGGTAATTTCACGTTATGAAACGAACTATGAAATGATTCCGGAGCAAGTGACGACTGACAATGCATTTGCATGGGTTTTTATACTAGAAAATCATCCTCAGTGTGAGTAAATAAGTTCAAAGATCACCCCATCTCCAAGCTTGATTCTTAGACCTTTCATAGAATTAAGACAATTCTCAGAACTAAGATGGACACCTGCATCCTGTATCGCATAGCGCAAGTATCGCTATTACATCGTCTACAATCATCTTCCAATAGTACAACGCTAGAAAACTGTGCTTGCGCCTCGCTAAACGCATACATGAGACATAAGTCTATTCGTTGCTAGAGAGTATTGTGCGTAGTAGTGTCAAATGGCATAGGTATGGTTTCTAGGAATTGCCCACCGTCAGGCTTTCGATATTCAAGTCAAAGGTTAGCCTATGCTATTTGATACAAGTGAGAAATTGAACATTGCATAGAATTTTATACTTTATGCAGCTGCAAAAAAAAATTCCTAAGAATTAGCCAAAGAATTGCGTAGAAATCATATTAGGAAAGTTTTTATATTGAGCATTATTCATACTTTAGAATAATAGCGTTTTGTAAGCTTAAAATATGAAAAATATAAGGTTTGTTATTTTGATAATAGGTAATTGAATTTTTTATAATATTGCAAAAAGAAATAATTAATTTTGAAGAATTAGGGCGAAACTAGTATAAATAGTTTTCGCTCTTGTTCAACAACCATACGCGATTCCTCAGCATAGCCCTTCTGTAGCGGGAGGTCACCTTCGGTGATGCATCTACGCGCCATATCTATACTCACATATCCATGACTGTACGCAATATAATTTTATACATCGTTCGCTCGCGTCGTGTCATAGCATGCAGGCAGAGATGCGTATATACAAATATAGACACATGTAATGATATATATGAGTCAATGCTTCAATATAGTATTAGAAATAATTATAATTTTAGTTATCAATTTTGAAAATATTGAGAGTAAAGCTTTGTTTACTATTATTTTCACTACTTATTATATGTCTTTATAAATGAAATATATTTTTAAAATTTTTGTTACTGGGATATAACAATCCTCCCTCCTCAGAATTGTTCAACGTCCCGTTTGAACATAGAATTGTTTTTGGCTGTTTTAATTTTAACTAAAAGAATTTAATTTTATACGTGACGTTTAACAACAATTAATTCAACAATTTTTTTTTACACTCATACTATAAGGGTAACAATAGTGATTTCGATGGATTTAATTTACGGAAGTAAGAACATTGCATGGCTAGGAAAGCTATGTGCATTTTTCTATTACGCGTTTGTAGTGTATAGTGTAATGTGAGTAATATGTTATCAATGATACCTCCAGTATCATCCATCGATAACGATTATCTCAATGCCAGGGCAATGATCTTTATTTTGTTATTTTGTCAACAAATGCTCATCCTTGGGTGTCAAAGCGGGAGTAATTATGCATTAGTAATTAAATCGGCACCATGGAAAGAAGACGTGCTGCATAAGAAAATATTGATTCCGAAGACTTCTAGG